TACTTTTAAGCACACAAATATAAAATATGAAATACTTTTATGCGTGTCACAATACGCATTGGAAATTGAGGATTACGAATTGGAGATTAAAATTTAAGCAACCAGAACGAAATGAATTAAAATTAAAATTATCCGATTAGCCGAATTCTAATCTCAGATTCGCAATCCTCGATTTCCAATGCGTAGTGTGACAGTAGTATAGAAAAATATATAAAATATGAAATACTTTTAAGCACACAAGTATAAAATATAAAATACTTTTAAGCACATAAGTATAAAATATGAAATACTTTTAAGCACGTGTCATCGAGGATTGTGAATCTGAGAGTAGAATTCGGCTGATCAGATAATTTTAATTTTAATTCATTTCGTTCTGATTGCTCGAATTTTAATCTCCAATGCATAGTGTGTACACGAGTTTTAGACACATTGTAATTACACGTCGAAAACGTTCGATTTCCAATAAAATATCGATAAACATGAAAAATTGCATTTAAATCGTGTGACTCCCATCGCCTGTGTTGTGATTCCATCATTAAAAAATGCTCAAAAATTTTTCCCGGGGCACATGTCTTTCTCGGTCACCGCGTATAGATCGATTTCGCGGAGTCACGCGACGCGTGTCACTTGGACGAATACACACGCGATTTCGTATGTGCATATGTGCACAGTAGAGACGCCTCGGCACGCATTGCGTAATCGCATGTAGAAATGATTTTCTTCAGGTGGAAGTACAAGCACTCGAACTTGACTGTGAAATTCATGAATCTCTGTATTTGCTTTTCTTTAAAAGAGCGAAAGAAAAGGGGAGAGAGAAAGAAAGAGAAAAACTCGATACATAGAGCCAACACACAATGCGATCTTGTTTCCTCGTGAAATTTCAGTACATGTTAATAAGAGAGAAAAAAAAACTATGACGTCAAACTTGCGGCGAAGAGTTGATTCACTCGTAGAGATTCGACCATCCTTTTTCGACGAGTTTTTCTATCATCGCGCTAATGTAAATCGCCACGTGTGGTTTCGATTCCCTTTCTCTCGTGCCTTTTCGTCACACTGTTCGCGCTCGTCGTTTTCAATGCATCAACGTGGAAAAAAAAATTGAGCAAGTGTTGACGTGCAATAGCTGACGTTTGCATTTACGGGTGTGATTGCTTATATATCGGCAAAATCAAGCGCTGTTAAACGTTGGCATTCTAACTAACTACTAAAACATATACGTTGCGCAAAAACCGTAATTAATGTTGCAATTCCGAATGCGAGTCGAGTACACAGGTGTATCTTTAGAGACTCGCGGATGCGGATAGCGCGAGATCATTCCTAAACGCACCGGACTCTCTGAGACTTATCAGTTGAAAAGACTACTTAAAAGACTCGGGTAGACTTTTTTCAAGTGGAAAAAGTGTGTAATATATATTTATTAAACTCAAGGATCTAGTTATCAGTATCACTTTTTTTAAATTGCACTACCCACGTCATTAACATACTTACGACATTTCATTATTTTTCCGTATTTCATATATGTTAAAATATAAACTCAAGTATATAATGTATAATATTTTGTATGTTTATTTATCTTTTACATTTTCTTATATTTATTTAATTAAATACAAAATATGAAACACTTAAAACTCGATCACTTTTAATTACTCATAAATTACTCATAATATGTTTATAATATGAAAAAATGTTTCAAAAGTGACATGATATCAGGAGGAGACGTACAGTAAAATTAGTTATATAATTTTGCTTTCTTATTGAGATATGAAGGTCAGCTTGAGTTTTTAAAATGGGATGTGTAACATTTGATCTTGTAATTTTTGAAAGAGCATTAAACGCTGGGTAAAAAAACTATTAAGATATGTAGTAAAATATGTAAATGTAGTAAATGTAGTAAATCACGTAATTATGTAGTAAATGTAGTAAATTACGTAAGTATGTAGTAAATGTAGTAAATTATTAAGACATGTATAAAAAATTGGTAATTACTGAAATATTTTTAAAATAATTTTTAACATAAATATTGCTTAAAATGCTACCTATTTCACTCTCACAGGATTTTCCTCGCATGCACCATAAAGATATATCTCGCTTTTCTATTACTAAATTTCGTTACAAACACTTGCCACGTTTTCTTCTATGAGGATTTTAGTCTACGTATTACATAGCAATAATTTCCAGCATGCCCTAAACTGGATGTTTAGTCATGTATGTTATAAACACATGTTTGAATTCGGGAAACAATCAAACAAGTGTTTTACAGAAGCTCACAGAATTTTTATTTGCACAGAAGCAAGGTAAAACTGACAACTGACAAGGTGGCAACTGACAACTGTCTGATAACGATAAAATTTAGTAATAGTGAAAAGCGAGGTTTTCTCGTCCATGATGCGTACGAGGAAAATTCTGTGAGAAAATTTTTGACCCGTACACATTAATCATTTTTTACTCGGCGCCCAATACTCTTTCGAAAATTGCAAAATTAAACGTTACACATTCCATTTAAAAAATTCGAGCTTTTATATTTTGATAGAAAAGCAAAATAACAGAAAACTAATTATAATGCACGTCCCCCCTAATACCTGACTTTTGTTTGAGACATTTTTTAATATTACAGTTTACGAGTAATTGAAAGTAGTTGAGTTAGAAGTCCCATTCTGTATATTTATGCCAATATGTATAATTTTTTCGTATTTTTAAATGTAAAATATATTAAAACACAAATATACGTAATATATATTTCTTATGTTCATTTATATATTCATTTTATTAAATATTATATATTTATGCTACACGCCAATGGCGATTTATTCTGTACATATATTTACATCGAATTATTAATCAAGCTAAAAGAAAACATTAATTCTTGTTATTTTGTAGAACTTTATATGCTGTGGGATTTTCCTTTGCATAAAGTAGATATTATTTAAAGTTAAACCTAAAGAAGGATGGAGGGAAAACGTTTATACGCGGATATCGCAATCTCATTTACAGTTTTTGCGGATAAATTTACCGTTCTTGGGAAAGAGCGAGTCGATCTCGGGACATTCCCGGGGTCGATTCGATGCGCTGGCAAACGATGCGCTAGTGCATTTTACGTGCACGCGACGCGTCACCGAGCGCGCCTGCTTCGGCGAAGACGCGTGGCATCGACTGGCCGCGGATCGATCGGCTTAAATGCTTAAAGGGAGCAGGGGAGCCCGATCCTTATGCAACTCTCTTTCTCTCTACCTCCCTTCCTCCCTCTCCCTCGCTCTCTCTCTTTCTCTCTGCAGCACGTCTCAGAAGCTCAATGTCGAGTTCAATGTCGCCTTCGACAGACTTTACAAAAAGCTAGACGGTAGATCCTAATAGCACAATATTGGAAAATTCATTGGCGCAATATTGGACCAATGTATTTCCAATATATTTATGCCAATATGTATAAGCATTATAATTCTTCGGAAAATTCATTGGCGCAATATTGGACCAATGCATTTCCAATATATTTATGCCAATATGTATAAGCATTAAAATTCTTCGGAAAATTCATTGGCGCAATATTGGACCAATGCATTTCCAATATATTTGTGCCAATATGTATAAGCAATATAATTCTTCGGAAAATTCATTGGCGCAATATTGGACCAATGCATTTCCAATATATTTATGCCAATATGTATAAGCATTATAATTCTTCGGAAAATTCATTGGCGCAATATTGGACTAATGCATTTCCAATATATTTATGCCAGTATGTATAATTTCTTCGTATTTCCAAATGTAAAATATATTAAAACACAAATATGTATTTATATTGGAAACACATTGGTCCAATATTGCGCCAATGAATTTGCCAATTTTGTGTTACTAGGAAGAGCATCTTTCCTAACGAAAAAGAAAATGCCTCGAAATGCCACGATGTCGGAGCTGTGAATGGTTTTCTGGAACACCATGTGCGTAAGGCTACGATAATTTCGATGACGAAGCTTTCTAAAAAAGAAAAAAAAGGTTCGCTAGCAATGAAAAAACGCGCTTCGACGAATCAGTCTCTTCCCGACTGTTTGCAGGTTTCCTACCTGCAGTACGTAGGCTCGAGTCTCACGCGAATCGGACACGCGACATGCGCACACACGGACATATTTAGAGGCGTAAAATATGCGTGAAACGCGAAATACACGGTGGACCGAGAATGAATTTCCGTTCCATCTGAAGGAATTCTCATAATGGGGATCTTTGCTCGTTCCACGATAATATAAGTAACTAAACTCGATATTCTTAATATTTATAATAATCAGGAATAATATTTCTGTACGCAATTCACGCGTTGACCCGTGGTTTGTTCGATCTTGCCTCCCCCCCTTCCCCTCCGCCGCCGAAAAAATGAAAGGTTTACGCGATTCCACACGTGAAGAGTTCCTCGTTTCGCACACAACGCGATTGAACTAACACACTCGCGAGAGGCGCACACGCACGCGGGACACCGATCGGCGTGTACTCCCACACGTAAGACGGCCTTTTCTCAAAAAAAAAAACCGTCGCTCTTGTTTCGAAGACGAGAGGATCCCGTTCGAAAGGATCGACCCGTGAAATCGATCATTTCTCTCTGATCGACAAATTGGCCCGGAACAAGCTCACTGCGCTCGTTCTTTCGTGGGACGGGAAGGTTTCTCGTCGGGAAGCCGGTCGATAGAACTACCGCGGCCAGCCGCGTTCGCGGCTACGAAAAAATCATCGCGTTCGTGCGAATCTCCGAGGGGGTTGGTGGTGTCCCTGATGGTGTCCCCGCGGAAACGTCCAGCGTCTGCAGAATTTCGAATTTCGAAACGGCACGACTCCCCCCCCATCCTCACCCCGCCGAACGCCCGACCCTCCGTGTCGAACAAACGACTGATAAATTCGAAGGGCGCGAAAACGCGTGCGAGCGGCGCGTAACTCTCGCTCGCGTTTCGTGGGAAAAGAAAGAAAGAAGTGAGAAAAGGTAAAGAGAGAAAGGGACGGGGAAAAGGAGACGGACGACTCACCTGAACGTCGAGGCAGCGTTTCGGGGTGAAGCGGAAGAGCGCCATCCTTTTTCCTGCGTGGGTTGTATATCCTGCGCGGGTGTCCCGTACCCTCGAACTGACCGACTCGACTCGACCGTCTGACTAATCGACCGACCACGCGGTGCTTGCGGCGCCCCAACTCGACTGGTCCTCGACTCAACGCGCTGCCGCGCCGCGCGCCGCTTTCGCCGCGGCGCGGCACGCGCACGCGCGCCTCGTGACGTCCGATCGTACCGTGCTTCAAAACGTTTCAGTAGCGGCCGCAGCCGCAGCGTGGCCCGCGTAAGTTTCGGTATATAATAGATGTAGGAAGCCTTAAGACGATCCTGGAAGATTGGAAAAATTTGCACGAGGTCGATAAAACAGATTCTTCGGTGTCAGTGATATCTCTAAATAAAGGCCTTCACACATAAAATCCTGTAAGATCGTAATAGACGTAAGCGTAAGAAAATCGACCAATCCCAATTGAGTATTAAGTTGTCCGTAACCCCTCCACTGAATTGCAATTGGTCGATTTTCTTACGCTTACGATTTCTTACGTCTTACGACCTTACGGGATTTTATGTGTGAAGGCCTTAAGGACTGTCTACAATACGTCGTATATCAGATCATAAGCCATAAATCGTAAGAATTGACCAATCACAGTTGAATGTAAGAAAAATATTCGACTACGATTGGTCAATTCTTAGTTAGTATGATATGAGTGGTGACTAACGGCTTATTGTAGAAAGCCCCTTAAACTTCTTACAATCTCTTTTGTCTCACTCAAACACATGCAATGTCCGTATCTAACTTATTGAAGTGCCATCTGTTACAAAATCCGGCACTTACTGTTAGACGCAATTTTTGCTGTCTTTACCTTAGCCTAAGCGTATGAATTACCATAATTTGCAGTTGTAAGGATTTCTTTTTTCCTAGGCTTTCAATCGTAGCTCAAAAGGTCTTGTATTATTCGTGCAAGTAATCCGATTTGGGAAACGTAAGCATTTTGAATATGTGAGCTACAGAACTTCTACACTAATGAAATGTTTATACGTCAAATGATAGCTGTACGATCCGAAAAAATGTAATTTTTTAATTTTTTTTTGTTTTTACTACAAATTCCTTAGTCCCCCAAATACATATTTTATGTCTATTTCAATCCTGTAAAAAGATTTTTAATTCCGTTCTGTCATTTCGGAGAAATCTTTACAACTGCAATGTGTCGGTAATTCCGACCTTCCAGCATCGCCTTAAGCTTTAAGAAATGGACCAATCATAGTCGAATGTGAAGGGAATAATCTTTTACGATTGGTCAATTTCTTAAGGCTTAAGGCTTCGTACACTTTACTATTGTATTTCAGGACTAAAGCTTCATAAGTCGCAAGCACACAACGCAAACGCGGAAAAAAAAGATTGAAATATCAAAAAAAAGAAAAGAAAGAGAGAAACGTCCGCGTTTGCGTTTTGCGTTTACGACTTATGTAGATGGGGCTTAAAGATTTCACAATTTTGGACATAATCACCGATTAGTAAATGTGGTTAGAATGTCTCTCCTTTTATAATTAAATATGCTGATACAATTAAATAATTGGAATAAATAATTAAATTTATAGTTTAAAAAAAACTGCTTTTTTTAAATTGCTGAAAAAAACCAAAAAAATTTCGGTTTTTTTCCGAAAAATTGCTATATAAACGATATACTACCTAATTTTTAATATTTTTATATTAAATATTAATTGGGATTCAAAAAGTAATGGAAGTGACTTTATGTATGCGATTTATTTTAATTTGCTCGTTAAAATGTAAATTTTTTGTTTAAATTAAATATAAGCTTATAACCTTTTATAAGTTATATAATCGTATTTATCGATTATATCTCATATTTTATAGTATTAATTAAAATAAGACACCCCAATCAGCACACAATGTTTTAAAAAATATTTTTAAAAATATTGATACATTAAAAAAACATTTTTAAAAACATTTAAATAATGAGTTAAGTGCTCTTTTTTTCATTAAAAAAACGTTTAATTTTAAAGTTTAAAGAAATATTTTTTTAACGTTTGAAAAACGTTTATTTTAATGTTTGAAGAAATATTTT